TATTGGCTCACAGTCGCGGCGGAGGGTGACGCATTCTATTGGTCTCTGTTCGCTGACTGTTCTGTGACGTGACTCATGACGGAAAAAAGACGTTTATTGACATTTTTTTCTAATTATAAGGTTGAGCATTTTCAAAAAAAAAAAAAAACCCACTATAATTCTTAATCAGCTCGAGGTCGAGCTTATTTAAGTGTAATGTAGAATATGGACAGGTCCTTAACCTCCCTTCTCAACTTTTCCAAGTACATAATTACAACAAGATATTTTTATAAAAAAACAATTCAGATCTGCTGGTGGGTCGCTATTTAAAACGGGAAGAGCGACTTTACTCCTTAAAAGAGTCATCAACCATATAAATATTCCAGGAAGGAATTGTTATGTCAATGTAATTAAGAAAATGTAATTGAATTTTTCACCCTGTTGGGAGGGGAGTATGCTCAAGCCCGCCCTCTCTCGCGCTGTGAGCCAATCAGCAGCCGAGGGAGTATTGCTCAGGGCCCGCCCTCCTCTCCGCGTGTGAACCAAAATCAGCAGCAGAGGGAGGTGTGCTCCGGCCCCGCCCCCTCGCACGCTGTGAACCAATCAGCAGCGAGGGAGTGTGCTCGCCCCGCCCCCTTCGCCAGCTGTGAAGCCAATCAGCAGCGCAGGGAAGTATGCTCAGCCCCGGCCTCCTCTCCGCGCTGTGAACCAATCAAGCAGCGAGGGAGTGTGCTCCGCCCAGCCCCTCTGCACGCTGTGAGCCAATCAGCAGTGGGAGGAGTGTGCTCCGCCCCGCCGCCCTCCGCTCTACGCGCACTAATCCACGTGACTGTCATTCGGTATCTTAACAGCGACAGGAACCGGAGAGAAACCGGTCAACGGAGGACCAGTAACAAACCAGTAACAACCAGTAACAACCCAGTAACAAACAGCAGCCAACCAGCACATGGTCTTCTGTCGCAAACTGACTCTGGACCAGGTATGGACGTGAAGGGGAAGCGGTATCATGAGTGAGCTACGCTGTAACGCTGCTAACGGACGTTAATCGCCTGGAGGAACTTTTTTCTTCCCTGCGGGCGGGAACTGTTAAAACACTGTAAACTGCGAGCTGGTGATGTGCACACAGGAGAGGTTCTGCACAGTTCTTGGCCAGGTTTCTGCCGGGCTTGCCCGGACGGGCCGAGACCGCTACGTGCCCGGACAGATGCTGAATGGATGGGAGATGAAGGTCCCCATATCTAAATTTAAAGTACTGCGCAGTCAATCCCAACGTTTCTGGGTAATAGATTACTTTAAAAAAAAACTGCATTTTATACCCGGTCAGAGTCAGCAGGTTGTGTATTATTGATCATTCCACTTTAAAATCCTCATTTAACGGGAGTAATCGATTTATATTTGAGCTTCTTATAATGGTGTTTTCAGATAGAGGGAAGAAGATCATTGTAGGGTTTTCTATTATTACATTAATAATTATAATATTATAAATTATATACTATATATACTATTATAATATATACTATATATATATATATTATCAATAAATAAATAAATTAAACCTAGTTAACAGGTTACAGGAGGGAAATGAGGTGGTGATGTTCAACACTTAGAGCTAATAACTAACTAAATACATTAAAAAGAGAATAAAAATAAATAAATTAAATCGCAGTAAAAGAATAACAGTAACATTAATGTTAAATATTATAAGTAAAGTAAACGAATAAAGGTACTTAGTTACAATAAACAGATTATTGGGTTTTATTTTAATAATTGCATCGACCTGATTAACAAAACTGAGTAAATAGATTACATTTAGTAACTGCTGTTAATCCTCAGCAGTATCTTTTAACTTCATTTAAACTTTGAAACTGACACGAGGTGTAAATGTCAGACGGGGAGTCAACAGGTCACGGGCAGGCAGCTTAAACGGTTAAAGGTCAGAACTCATGTAGGGAGGGAGGACGGGCTGCCCCTGTGTGTGGTCGTGTGTGGGTGGGTGTGTGTGTGTGTGTGTCGTGTGTGTTGTGTGGCGATGTGTCTCTGTGTGTCTCTTGTGTGTGTGTGTTCTCTGTGTGTTGATGTCTCTGTGTGGTGTGTCTCTGTGCCTGTGTGTGTGTGTGTGTGTCTGTGTTTGTGTGTGTGTGTGTGTGGTGTGTGTGTGTGTGTGTGTGTCTGTGTGCTGTGTTGTGTTGTGTCTCTGTGTGTTGTGTGTCTCTGTTGTGTGTGTCTCTGTGGTGTGTGTGTGATGTGGGTGTCTGTGGAGTGGTGTGTGGTGAAGTGTGTGTGTGATGTGTCTGCATGTGTGTCGTGTGTGTGTGTGGTGTGTGTCTGTGTGTGTCTCTGTGTGTGCGTGTGTGTGTGTGTGTGTGTGTGTGCGCGCTGTGTGTGGTGTCTGTGTGTTCTCTGTGTGTGTGTGTGTTGTGTTCTGTGGTGTGTGTGGTGTTCTGTCTGTTGTGTGTCGTGTGTGTGGTGTGTGTGTCTGTGTGTGTTTTCTCTGTGTGTGTGTGTGTGTGTGATAGTGTGTGTGTCATGTGTCTGGTGTTTGTCTGTGTGTGTGTTGTTGTGTGTGTGTGTGTGTTGTGTGTGATGATTTGTTGTGTGTTCGTGTGTGTCTGTGTGTGGTGGTGTGTGTGTGTCGGGTGGTTGCGTAACTCACCCGTGTGGAGGGAACGAGGCGATGCGTGTTGTGTTGCGGGCGCCTTCGGCGGAGGTTTAACCGGCGCGGTGACAAAGGGAATCGCTTTTGGGGAACAAACCTGGGGTTGGAGGTCATGTAGGGCCGTGGTGACACCAGGACACAAATGCATTGGCGAGCAACAGAGGAAGTCCAGTGAGAGAGTTTCTTCATTTCTTGCTTCGTTTACGCAAGACGGGAAAAGAAAAACGACTCCAGACTGTGTATTTCCCCCAATTAAACGATTAACAGCTTGTACTCTTTGCTGCTGATTGGCTCACAGCGCGGCGGAGGGTGACGCATTCGATTGGCTCTGTTCGCTGACTGTTCTGTGACGTGACTTCATGACGCGGAAATAAAAGACGTATTTTAGCAGATTTATTAAACTAAATTATACTTTTAAGATAAATCAGGTTGAGCATTTTCTAAAAAAAAAAAAAACCCCACTATATATTCTCTCGCTTCGGAGGTCTGAGCTTTATTTTGAAGTGTAATTAGAATATGGACAGGTCCTTTAACATGGGCTCTCTATAAGCAGTTTCTCACAGTATCTAATTTACAACAGAGATATTTTATATAAAAACAAGTTCAGATTCTGCTGGTGGGTCGGCTATTTAACGGAGAGGGGCGACTTTACTCTTATAGAGAGTTTCTATCAACATATAATATTCCAGTTACGCCAGGAGGAATTGTAATGTAATGTAATGTAATGTAATGTAATTGTAATTTGCACCTGTTGGAAAAATCTGTTTTTCTAAACTTCCTCGAAATAATAAGAACATTCGTGCCTTGTTTCAGAAAGAAACTGTATTTATTCCAAATGTGATCTAAAAGGTTTGGATGATTCCTCAGATACCTGACAGTAAACCAGGTGTGTTCAGAATAATCCACAGGTATTACCCTGCTGATCATTACATGGTTCCATTTAAAAGAGACATCAATACAAACTGTTTGTTTGTGAAGAACACCCAGAAAGAGTTTGCACCTCTTTTGGTATTTGTTTACACACCAGAACATTTTGGTAAAACTTCAGCAGATTCATCATTGACCACATTAATAAAGACTTTTCCTTAATGTGGGAGAATGTGGTATTTTGCTTTTATAGAAGGCAAAGTAAAGAAAATATAATTCAAAATGCCACATTCATAAATGTAAATTCAACAGTAAAAAACCTAATTTTGGACTTTTTCTCCATGAAGTTGTTTATTATATTAATTTGATTTCTGGCTCCAACAACAAAAAGGCGGTTAAAACTGTCAACGTTTGGTCCTTTCTCTTTTTAATAACATAAACTTCTCCTGGCAAAGCTTTGTTTCACTTTGTTTGTATATGTTTGTATACTGTTACACACACACACATATATATATATCTCTGTAAGTCACATCTGAATTGTAATAAAGATGACTTTGAAATGTTTTGTTTTCCTTTATTTATTCTACAATTTATATTAATGAATTAATTCAACCAAACTTATATTATTCATCTTAAATTGCACATGTAGGTTTAGTGTTTTTAGTCAAGCTGCTTAAAATATTTTGCACACCATTGTACTTGCACATTGCATATATTTTTCATTTATTGTTTTATATTTCTATTATATTTTGTAACATTTTTATCTGTGATAAGATTGTATTTGTACACTGTGTTGTCTTTATTGCACCATATTCTCCAATGCTGCTGTGTGTAACTGAACTTTCTCCTACGGGGGATTAATAAAGGTATATCTAATATCTTATCTTCTTTTATCTTACTTATATTTGCATAAAGATAATGTAATAATAGTGAGAGGACACATTCTGCACATTTAGTGCTTTTACTTTGGTAACATTTTAAATACAGGATTTCTCTTTTCAGACTACTTTTCCTTTGTTAAAATACTTTTTCCACCTCTGATAAATGAGAAAGATAAAGGGATTAGTTTGTTTTGTGGTGGTTTTATGCTCTCTGACCTCCAGTTTAACTCAAGTGGATGAAAATTAGCTTCAACAATCTCACGATTGTTCACATTGTGTTCCTCAGCAGTGACTTTCTGTTTTTAGGTAAATGTACGGTAACAAAACTATAAAAAAGCAGCACTATATTATAGTAACAAACAGTTCACAGGTCAAAAGAACAAAGTGATCAGTGAAATCACACTTGAATTTATTTGCACACAGTAACATGTTGGAACAAACAGGCTTCATTCATCTGTACAAGAAGGTTTATTGTTGTTAGGTGGGAGTCATGGCGGCTCTTCACTCCTCGGCCTCTCTCCACTGCTGGGGCATCACCTTCCCAACAGGTGACATGTTCCAGGTGATGCCGGTCTGAGTCAGCACCTGCGCACACACACACACAC